AAAAAATAGATGATTTTATGTCTTTCTCATAAGTAAACTTTTATGAGAATAAAAGGGGAATGTGATTTTTAGAAATTTTGTGTGTAACTTATAATTCATAACTGTAGTTCAGGATTATTCTATAATATACCCTTATGCTGGAACTGTTTAAATTTCCTTTCACACAGAGGGTAATGAAGCGTAGATACTTGTGAGTTTTGAACTGTATGTATGTATTGATTTTAAAGGGTGTGGGGAGGAGCGGAGGGAGAGGGAGAGAGAGAATCTTAAGCAGTCTCCATGCCCATGTGGAGTCCAATGCAAGGCTCCATCTCACAACCCTGAGATCATGACCTCAGTTGAAATCAAAAGTCGGACACTTAACCAACTGAACCACCCAGGCACCCCTTGAATGGTATTTATAAGTGATTCTTGTAGTAAATAACTTTTCCTACTTCATAATGGAAACAGTTGCATATCTACAAACTAAATCAAGCTTGTGGTCAGGGTGTTTCCTGGTAACATTATACTAATATACATTCTGGCTTGTGATGGATATATCCTATGTCTCTTTAAACTTGCCAATTTGATGGAAAAAATTTATATGTGTGTGTATGTATATACAGATAGATGTATGTATTTATAATAATTTTTTAAGTTGAATTTATTCAAGAATTGTGGAAATAGGTATTTCATCTTTGTTGACCAGATTTGTTTTTCTTTGTGATTTACCTATTATTTAATTCATCATGTTCATGTTTTTTATATATGTGAGTTTTACTTTTATGCTTATTAGTATTTACTGAACTGAATTTATACAGTAATATATCTTAGAAACTTTTTTTTTTAAAGATTTTATTTATTTTTTAACAGAGAGAGAGAGACAGTGAGAGAGGGAACACAAGCAGGGAGAGTGGGAAAGGGAGAAGCAGGCTTCTCGCTGAGCAGGGAGCCTGATGTGGGACTCGATCCCAGGACCCTGGGATCATGACCTGAGCCGAAGGCAGACGCCTAACGACTGAGCCACCTAGGCGCCCTATCTTAGAAACTTTGAAACATTTTACATAATTACAGAATATTTTAAAGGGTATGTTATTTTAAGTAAAATAATTTGATCCTTCCGTAATATTCATGAAAGCACCAAAATTCTTTAAAATCTCCATGTCTTTACAATATTGGCACCAATGTATTTCTCAAAGTAAATTATTTCTAAGTATTTGTTTTATTAATGTAGACTTATTTACTGTTAAGAGTCTAATTTTTTAAAAATGCATAGGCAGACTTCTGTTTTTTATTTCTTAGAGTGAAAGTCAAGGTCATTTAATTTTTCTTCATTTGTGTTTTCTTATGTACTTTCTTTTCTTTTTAAGATTTTATTTATTTTAGAGAGAAAGAGTGCACGAGTGCATGCTTGAATGTGGGGAGGGGCAGCGGGAGAGAAAGAGAATTCTAAGCAGACTCCACACTGAGAATGGAGCCTGAGATGGGGCTCGATCTCAGGACCCTGAGATCATGACCTGAGCTGAAACCAAGAGTCAGATGCTTAACTGACTGAGCCACCCAGGCGCTTCTCAGTTTATTTTCTGTGACCCTTCTGGTCTCTGTCTTCCAGGTCAGGGTAGTGGTGGTGATGGTGGTGATGGAATTGTATATGTGTGTGTTTGCATTTGTGTTGTGAGAAGGGATTCTGTTTTTCTCGACTGCAAGAAAAACATATTAAACCTTCTTTTCCTTTAGGTAGATTAATGAATGTTTTCTGAAAGTAAGTTATATTAGGGAGCAATCTGTGTTTGGTAGTAATATTGTTTAATCTTCAGGTACAGAATGTCGAGATGAAATTCATAGCTTTAATTTTTGCTCTGATATAGTATGATTCTACCACCTTTGGTTTTCCTCAATTATTTTTTTCTCTTCATTTTTTTGTTCATACATTAAGGTGGTGAATGTCTTTATAGGAGACAGGTGTTGTAAAACTTAACATAATTAACACCTTTAGGAATCTTGGTATTTGACAAGAGGCTTCTAGAAAGTAATTTAATGGTTACATTGCTAATAGCAGATAAATGTCAGTTTTTAGGTTATTAAGTTGAATATATTATTTCTTTTTACATTTAAAAATGTAGGTACTGTATTTGATGGGGCACCTGGGTGGCTCAGTCGGTTGATTGTCCATCTGTTGGTTTTGGCTTGGGTCATGATCTCAGAGTCATGGGATTGAGGTTCCTGTCGGGCTCACACTGAGTATGGAGTCTGCTTGTCCATCTCCCCTCCCACACCACCCTCCTCACACACACGGGTCCTTGGCCCACACACTTGCACGCTTTCTCTCTCTCTCTCTCTCAAATAAAAAAAAATCTTTAAAAAAATGTAGATACTATATTTGAATCACTTTTGAATTTCATTCACTTTAGTGTGAGAGTTGAGTTTGACTTCTTTATAAGTACATTTATGATTCAACTAAAGTGTAATAGGATAAAATGTTTAGAACGGAAGTATATCATTGTATATAAATTTTCATTGTAAAAGGGGAGAAATAATTTTCTTCTGAAAAGTCATTTCTCTTAGTTTTTGGGCATAGAAAGACTTACAGAGATGATAAAACTAAACAGTTCTATTGTAATTGGAAATTTCAGACAAAAAGAAGAGTTGTACAGTTTTCGTATTTCTACTCTTTATAAGGCTGAAGTCAACTCTTTCAAAATTATTTGTAATCTTTAATTGGTGATACATTTTAATTATATTTGTGAGCATTGTCAATTCAAAGATAAGCTAATTATCATTTATGAGGCCCTTAATTGTTTTTAAAATGTAAATTCTAAAACGGATAATTAGCCAGGAACATTTCCTTGGAATAATATATTGCCACATAATTTTACTGTTGCAGAGAGCAGGAAAAGAAGTATAATATTTTATGCATTAAATTTTGTCTTGCCTAATACGAGTACTGCTATATCAACTATAGTATATGCCTTCTCCCATTCTTTTATGGTGTCGTGTGTTTTTTAATAAACTTCTTATTTTAAAATGATGTTGAACATTTTATTTATTTATTTGGCAGAAAGAGAGAGCACAAGCAGGCGGAGCGGCAGGCAGAGGGAGAGGGACAAGCAGACTCCCCACTGAGCAGAGAGCCTGATATGGGGCTCAATCCCAGGACCCTGGGATCATGACCTGAGCCGAAGGCAGACGCTTAACCAACTGAGCCACCCAGGCACCCCTTATTTTGAAATGATTTTGATTTACAGATACCGTATTTTAAAGTTCTTTCCAGATACATTCAAAGCTATGAATTTTAAAACTCAGAATCTCGGAAAGCTTAACAAATTAACACATTGACATGCCAGTAATAGGTTTTTCTTCAAAGAAAATGCACCACTATATTTCTTAATCCAATTTTAAATACTTTGTTTGTCCAATAAGAGAAAAACATTTTAATATATTATTTTCTGATTGAGAAAACTTTAAAAATTAACATCATTGGAATGTATTTCTAAACAGGCAGGAATTTTCAGAATGGCAGTGAGGGTCACTGATCATGTAGCAGTTAACAGTTCCTTCTCCAAAAACAAAAAACAGAACAAGTGAAGTCAGCAGTATGAAGCTGGGAAGCTGCATCTTAAACCTTGAAGGTTATGTAGTGATTTAAAGTGAAAATCAATTGGTTTCTAAATATTGAGACCATTGGCTTTGTAGGAATTGGTTCTCAAGGCCCTTCAGGTTTTTGTCTAGGTGAGTTTCTCTTGATACTGGTGGTTTTAATATAGCATCATATATACTTGACAAAATTTAGAATTTTTTATTTGAAAATATTAATTATTGCTGTTTGAGGAAAACTAAGACCTTGCCTATGGGTTCCTTTTACAGTGGTGTTGGGAGAGAAAATAAAGCTTTACATTCTCTGTGGTCTAAAAAATAATAAGATTGCAGATCGCTGATATAGAGAAATGTTTGCTATTTATTTTAGGGGCCTTGATGCACTCAGCAAAAAAGTGAAGGCTTCCACAGTGGACCTCCCTATAGAATCTGTGAGTCTAAGTCTGCAGGACCTGATTGGCTACTTTCACCCCCCAGATGAGCATTTAGAGCATGAAGACAAGCAGAACAGATTACGAGCTCTAAAGAACCGGCAGAATCTCTTCCAGGAAGAAGTGAGTTTCTACCAACATTTATCTTTTATGCTACTGTCTTAGGAAAACAACTTCTCTGTAGGGAAGTTCTCTGACAGTTTGCATTTTGAGTTGGCTGAACAGGTAAACTATGGCATAAGGGAACCAGACCTTGGAGGAATCCTGCAATTATTTTTGTTTCTCTGTCAGGGAGTTCTCATTTAAAAAAAGAAAATGGAACTCTTCCTTCCCCTGGCAAAGGACATTTTATTTTGCTGTCTGCTCAGCCTTCATGCTGATCATTCATTGCACTGCAGTTTACTTCATGTTTGTTATATAAACACAGTATCTTGAAGTGTCTAAATGAATACAGGCTTTGAAAAACAAGGTTTTTTTTTTTAAATTTTTTGTTTTTTTTTTATTTTTTTAAGATTTTGTTTATTTGAGAGAGAGAGAATGAGAAAAACAGAGGGAGCATGTGAGGGGGGAGGGTCAGAGGGAGAAGCAGACTCCCTGCCGAGCAGGGAGCCTGATGCGGGACTCGATCCTGGGACTCCAGGATCATGACCTGAGCCAAAGGCAGTTGCCTAACCAACTGAGCCACCCAGGCGACCCAACAAGAAGGTTTTTAGACTGTTCAGATTCTTGAGGCTACTTGGACGTGCCTGAGGGTCCACAGGAAGTTTTGTATTGGGAGGGAATCTGCCCAGGAGAGGGCAGGCCATCTGGGGAGGCAGAATTCAGGGCTCTCTGCTTAGAGAAACTCCACTTACTACTTTTATGTGCATTCAGTTTTTGTGTGTGATTTTATTTCATGCACATTCCAGTTAAAAAGAGCTCAAGTGCCATGTTTTATAGACAGAATAACAGAAGGACTGAGGGATATGTTTAATGATCCTAAAATGAGTGTTGGAATTAGTACCATATATTCAAGAGTTTCAGTGGGAGGATGTCAGAGGTGAGCTGGCACATCAGGCCAGCTCAGCAGGTGTCCCCGTTCTCAGTGTTCCCTGTATGTGGAATAATGAATGTGTCTGAGTAAAAGTATCTTTGTAAAAGTATCTAAGAAAAAAGGTTAGAGAATATTGCTGAGGACCCATAAGCCCTAATTCTACATTGTTCTAGTCTGAAAACTGTTTCCTGATTTTCCATCAAAGGCCTTTGAAATTCACATTAATTTATGAGGACTTTTCACTGTGTATACAATAAACTGATGTGTTTAGAGACCGTAGTGGTATGAAAGCACAGGGCAGGTCAGCATGAGTCAGTAACAACATGGAGTAGTTTGTTGGGTCCTTTACATTTGATGTGTGCCAAAATGTTAGACTATGCTGCATTCACTTCGTATCCTGAAAAACTAAAATGAAATACTGGGCTGTGAAATTTTGAAGTATTGATTTGGATTTTTTTTTTAATTTCTCATGGAAGACAGCATAGATGGGGACCTAGAAATGTGCATAGGTTCATGGCATCTCTTACAACTCTGTGAGAAATAGGTTTCCTTGATCAGTCAACTTGAACTAGCTCCTCCTTTCATGTGCTTTTGGCAACCTTGATCTAGCAGTAATAATAAAAGCATAATTTCAAACGTAGACAGCATCTTACAAAGCCCTATAATGCATTTTTATTTGCTTCAAAGATCTCTTTTCATGAGCTTTGCTTCATTTATTAGCTCTTTCATTTAATATTAAAAATAATGATAATGATCATGATCATAATCATGCCTACCCTAAGAACAAGGATTTGTAGCTCTTAAACTTTTCTAGGGGAGGAAAAGAAGTCATTTTCCTCTACTCCTCTTAGGTTCATTGGTTGGGGTCCTGCGTTAGAGTGACAAAAGACAGATATATAAGAGAAAACAAGGTGTTAACATGTGAATCATGCATATCCATGGGAGTGCTCAGTGATGAGCAACTCAAAGGAGTGGTTAGAACTCAGGCTTATACAGCATCTTAAAAAAAAAAAAAGGACAATGAATTTGTAGAAAAGGAAAGAGACAAAGGAAAGGAGTTTTGAGCTTCTAGGGGCAGCAAGTTGTGGGAAGGTGTATATATGGAGGAACTAGTGGAAGTTAAGGGTGAGTTAGTAGAGTTATGTAGATTCCTCTGTGAAGCCTCTGGGCTGTTAAGTGTTGGGCCTTGTTTCTTGTGGTTAAGCATCTCCTGTCCTTCCTGGTAGAGGAAAAGGGCAGAGAATTTTTCTTGTGTCTGATTTTCCTCAGTTGCCTTCAGCTCAAAATAATCCTTACGCCAAAGTTGCATATCTTGGGGTGGCATTCTCTGAACCTCTTCATGTACCCCTCATGGTAAAATACAGTTGTGACTGATCCATTAATCCAGTAGTAAACCTTGCAAATAGGAGTATAAAGCACATAGTTTTGTATTGTTCTTCTGCTTCTATTTGAAAATAGCCCTCAGGACTTAAAAACCACTTGAATTATGTCAAGAACACTTTATTTCACATGCAAGTGTGTTTCTTCCTGAGATTTAAATAATATGACCTCAATTTTCCTATGATTAACAGTCTTACTTTAAACCAGGCTTTTTTTTTTTAATTAATTAACTTAGGTTTTTTTTTTTTTTTTTTTTTTTGGGTCTGTGAGCAGAATCACGCTTTCTTACGGTAATTTGTATTAACCTTCCAGGGAATGATCAACCTCGTGCTCGAGTGTATAGACAGGCTGCATGTATACAGCAGCGCGGCGCACTTTGCTGACGTCGCTGGGAGAGAAGCTGGCGAGTCCTGGAAGTCGATTCTGAATTCTCTCTATGAGTTGCTAGGTAAGAAGTATGACAGTTTTCAAGGCAACTGACTCACGTCTATTTCAAATGATCACATAGCAGGTAATGTAGTTTCATGATATGCTTCTTCATCGAGGCTTTTGGTGTTTACTGTTGTTGCACTTAAAGCCAAGTGATGTTTATAATACTTACGTCCATCTCTGAGTGAGGACTGTGGCCAGAGCAGTAGATTGGTCTCTGGTTTATGGAGGGGAGTCTTCGAGGGTGTGAGTTTGTGGGTGAGGGACCTCTGTGTGAATTTGCATGAAATATTTCCTTTACGATTCTCAGGTTAGTCCCACAAGACCTCTCTTTCTCCCTTAAAAGAATCTTATCAGGAACCTTCTCTCTTTTCCTTCTGTAGTCTTTTTGAGATTTGCGTTTGCACCCTCTCTATGTGCTTGAGGTAAATTAAGAACGCTTGTGGTGGTTTGTGCTACATTCCTTTGACTGTATGCAAACATACGTCCTTAGTATTTTTGGCCTGGGCTATTCCACTAGCTTTCACTTGTCTCTTGTCAAGAACTACGAACTTGCAAGCTAGTGAGCTGACCTCCAGTGAGGATAAAGAGGTATAGTTTATTTCTCAAAGCAATGGATGAAGCCAAAATATCAGCATTCTTGGGTCCAATTCCTCAAACCCCACTTCTCATAGGACAATATGTAGGGAACAGTTGACATGCAATGGGGTTGAGTCACAGGAAAGGAATTGTGAGCTTAGGGAGTCCAAATCAGTTACACTGGAAATATTCCTGCCCACCCTTTTGCTTTGGATGGAGACACTATCTCTCTCTTCCAAGGCTTCTTGCTACAAACATCCTTGAAAAGAAAACCCAAAGCAAAGTCTTCCAGTGGCTCCTTCACAAGACATACAAAAACAGAAGACCCATGGAGAATGACCTCTCTTCACTTGCCCTCAGTTCCAAAATCCCAGATTCATCTGGTACACTGTAACTGCACATGTCTTCCACTTAGACATTTCTCACCTTTTTTCCCATCATTCCAGAAGGTGAAGTTTAACTTGCTTCGCCTGGTACGTGAGGCCCCGGTGAACTCTTCCAAGCTGGTCCTTGCCAGTGTCTTTCCCCTTTCTCTAGCCATACCCATTTCTGAGTGCCCTGTTCATGCTTCAGTGACATTTTCCTGCACCCCGTTTTCCAGAATTCCTGTATATCCTTTGAGGCCCAGTTTACACCTAACTTTTTTGAAGTTAATGTTGACATTTTGCTAACTCTCAAGCATGATTAAACAGTTCCTTCTCTCTCTCTCTCTCTCTGCTTTCTTGGCACTTAGTATTTACTTGTGTTATAGCACCTACCCATTTCTTACTTACTTACATATGTGCCTGGGATCTCCAGGGCAAGAATGGCACCTTTTCTGATTTTTGCTTCTCTGTCCTTTAACTTCATGTCTGGCACATTGTAGATACTCAGTAAATGTTTACTAATTAAATAAATTGAGTTCTGATAGAGTAGGAAAGTATAATTCCTAAGTAGAGAAAAGAAGTCTTGAGGCATTTTTTTGTGTGCATGTGAAGAATGAAAGGTAGTCAAAATATTTGGAAATTCTTTATAATATAATTGAAACTCATTAAAACTTAATAATACTATTTAGCAAATAGAATTCTTGTGCCTGCTAGCATTTCTAATATCCTCCCTTTAGGTGGGCTATTTGATCTGCCATGAAAATTAAACACATGTAGTTTGGTACTTTCAGAATAAGGGGTAATACTGGCTAGCATTTCTTTGAGCAGGACCCAGGCCACAGAGGCTTTCTAGGAATCTGGATTTATTATTTTACCCATGAAATCATGAAGACGAGGATTTTATGATGCCATCATTCTAGGGGCTGCATTTCTTTTCCAGCGAAGAAATTACAGCACCGAATTGCTGTATTTGGTAGGGACTGATGTATGGTAGTGTTTTAATACCACAATTTAACATCTTCACTTGCTATGACATGGGATTCGTTTCTGTGACAAACTAGATGTTTAAGGTCAAGAGGTGCCTCATCTGTGTTTGAGGGTAGGAAGGATTATGTGCAGAGACAACGTTGTAGAGAAATCTAGATAATGCGCATCTTATATTTTCACATCAGCTCTTTCCATAGTCTGTTACTTTTTTCGTTTCATCCGGTCCATGTGCTCATGTATCCATAAGTAATAAAAATGTACAGAGAGAATTATAATGTTTTTTCTAAAATCATAGAAAAAATCTAATCCAGCAAAGTCAACACTTCAGTTTTATCATTTCAGGCTACGTATCCCTCAAGGTTATATTCCTTTTACCTTCACAGACTTCTTGATTAAATCTCATTATTTTAGAACCTATTGGAGTAGTAGTAATAAACTCTGCAAAATGCTGGAGATGTGAAGAGTGGGAGCACCGCTCCTCATCAGAATTGGTTTCATCGGGGGCGCCTGGGTGGCTCAGTTGGTTAAGCGACTGCCTTCAGCTCAGATCATGATCCTGGAGAACCGGGATCGAGTCCCGTGTCGGGCTCCCTGCTCAGCGGGGAGTCTGCTTCTCCCCCTGACCCTCCCCCCTCTCATGTGCTCTGTCTCTCTCTCTCTCATTCTCACTCTCTCAAATAAATAAAATCTTTAAAAAAAAAAATTGGTTTCATCATTTAATTTTTAATGAGACCATGGCTAAAGATATGATTTTTAAATGGTTTATTCAGAGTGGGGCGGGGGGGAAGAAGCAGTTGTTGGAGGTGGAATGATGATAGATCTCTTAGGATTTGTCCACTTGCAAATTACGGCCTCAACTCAAAGTGGCTCACACAGTGGAGGGCATTTATTGGCTTGTAGAGCTGGAAGTCAGCTAGTGGGTGTACTCAAATAACTTCATCATGGCATCCAGAACCTGCTTCTTTATATCTGTTCTGCCTTCCACAAGGATCAGCTCCCTCCAATGCCGGCTTCCCTTATGTGGCCTCAGTGGGCTCCCCTCAGCTCCAGTGCTGCAGATTTCCTCTCTGACACGGAAGAAGTGAAAGAAGGCTGCTCCTTGAAATTATCTTAGGAAAGAGCATGCCATTTCCTAAAACCCCCTAGCAAATCACCTTTCATCTCATTAGCCCAGACTGTGTCTCTAGTCTTTCCTGAGCTCATCATTCTTGCAAGGGAGGATAGGCATTTCACCAGCACTGGCTCTGACTGATCAAGGATTCACTCCTGGAACTGGGGCCAAGCCCTTGGACTGCTTGGCTGCCCTACAGAGGTGAACGTTGCAGAGAATTCTGGGGAAGAAGCTAAAGTGTCCAGCTCAAATGTTATCTTAGATACTCGACTCACCCAAAAGGTTTTATGGACTAAATTCTAACCTGAGTGCCTTTATCCACCATGTGACACCATGTGTAAACAGAGTTGGCACTCAATAAATATTTCTTTGAATTATTCAATAAATGCATTAGAGATTCCCATGGAGGTTAGATTTTCCTGTAACAGGTTAGATGTGGCCATTGAGACACTGTATTACATACCAATGCACCTGTTACTCCACCACCATTGTCTTTTTTCTTGAAAAACAAAAGCATAATCTTTAATCCATAGGCAACAGTCTCTGAGAAAATGACCCTTCTTTTAGCCAAGAAGGTCTCAGAATTAAAGCTCTCCTACTTGTATGACTGAACAGATTACTAAACTCACGCTCGGTTTCTTCATCTGCAACACCTAATCTGGAGTTCCTATTCCTGAGGATTATCATGCAATCCCCCGAGTTGATGTAAAGTGCTAAGAAGAATACCAGGCACATAGTGAGTGATACCTATTGTTATTATACATATTATCTGTAAATGGCTATAATAATTCCCTTTATAATGATGTTGGATGGCTTAAGTATAGTAATGTATTTCAAATGCTTACCACAGTGTCTTACTGATGTTCTCATTATTCCTTTTTTTTTCTTTTTTGGGGGATGCTTTTATCACCATCCTTCTCCTCATTAACATAGTAAAACCTTCTTTTTTGACTTCTCTTTCTGTTCTTATTGTTTTTGCCTTTTAAATATGCCTCAGAAGTTACCTGGGTGGCTCAGTCGGTTAAGTGTCTGCCTTCAGCTCAGGTTGTGATCCTGGGGTCCTGGGATCAAGTCCTGCATCAGGCTCCCTGCTCTTTAGGGAGCCTGCTTCTCCCTCTGCCTCTCTCTCTCCCTCTGTCTCTCATGAATGAATAAATAAAATCTTTAAAATAAATACATAAATATGCCTTAGAGGGGTGCTTGGGTGGCTCAGTCGGTTAAGGGTCTGCCTTCAGCTCAGGTCATGATCCCAGGGTGCTGGGATCAAGTCCCACATCTGGGGGCTCCTTGCTCAGCGGGGAGCCTGCTCCTCTCTCTCGTCTGCCCCTCCCCCACATTTGTGCACTTGCACTCTTTCTCTCTCAAATAAATAAAATCATTTAAAAAGAAAGAAATGTGCCTTTTCACTTGGAACTGTTGGATATAACAAGGGAAGTTCTGGATTTTGAAAATATAGAAGATGTAGCCTCATGATTATTGTAGATACACGGTGACTCTTGGTTTCCTCATCAGAAAAGGGAGGAAATAAAGTTTTCTTCATAGTACCCTCCAGGTTGAAAATTTTATATTCCATTGTTCCATGCATTCCCTGAACACACCCATCTCTTACATCCATATCCTCCACATCTGGTGTATAGCTGGTATTCAGTAAATACTTGAGAATCACATTGATAATCGGATGCTGTAAGATTTCTGGTTAATCTCTCTGACTCTTTTCTTTCCCTTCGCCGATCTTTATTGGAGACCTCAGGGAGCCCTTACAAACTTCTTCATGAATTTCCACTGATTCTTAGATAGTTGGTGTGGACCCTTCCTGTTCTAGTCTTTGGAATACTCAAGCCCCATGTCTGGTCTGTCTCCCTTCTCAGCTGTGACCTCACTCACTTTGTTTCTAGTTCCTGAGCTTTCGGTGCCTCCCATCCAGTACTTTTCTTCCAGAATGTCTAGAATATAAGAGGTCAGTATAAGAGGTTTGGC